TTTCTGAACCTAGCACAGTTTCTAGCACAGCATGAGTGCAGACTAAGTATTTGTTGAATTATGTATTCATTTGGACTCTGAATCATGTGACTCAGACAAGGGAGGAAGAAAGAGGTGGGGCCGCTACTTGGTGCCTAACCTCCGTGGGGTGGTTTCCTTGGACAAGTATTTATACCTTTAACTTTTCTAACGTCAGATTCCTATTGGGGATTCTACCAAAAACTCTTCTAAATTTTTAGCTAATGAAATGAATAAGATATGATCTAAACATCTTATATTGTGGTAGTATTATAGAAATATTTAGTCAGTGAGGGATTAACAACACAATTCTTGTGAAAAGTATTATCATTATTTTTTCAGGTACAATGAGCTACTGTTTATTATTGACACTTGTCAAGGCGCATCCATGTATGAACGATTTTATTCTCCCAACATAATGGCTCTAGCGAGTAGCCAAGTGGGAGAAGATTCACTCTCGGTAGGTACATTTTCTCCATTTGTAAACTGCAGCGTCTTTAGAATGTGTAGCTAATTCTGAAATCATTTACATGCTTTATGAATGTAGCTGTTATTTCATATTCTTAGGACTTTTTAGCATATTAGAAGGAAATTTTGATTATATTTTAAACATGTTTGTTATAATGATGCTATTAGACATATATATATTTTTTTCTTTTCATAGCATCAACCTGATCCTGCAATTGGAGTCCATCTCATGGATAGATACACATTTTATGTCTTGGAATTTCTGGAAGAAATTAATCCAGCTAGTCAAACTAATATGAATGACCTTGTAAGTGTTCACTTGATTTGATCATAGCACATAGGTGTGCTGACCTAATGTGACAAATGAAGTCTGTCATTCCCTTTACTCTTGGAGGATACTGCCCCATACATTGAATTGTTTCGAATCTACCTGTGTGTGAGTGTCTGTCTTTACCACAAGAGCCCTAACGCGTAGCCCGGGGAAGTTGCTATCCTGGAGGGACATCGTTTCCCTTCATTTGCCCATTCTCTTTTCCGTACCTGAAACGTATTTTGTTTTTTTAGATTCCCCTTTTGAAATTCTACCTATGCTTTAGGGGTCAAATAAGATCAGACCTCCTTCAGCAAGCCTCCACAAATTCTTCTCTGGTAAAATTTTTAAATTTTCAGAGCATCCATTGAGCTTTAGTTTTTATAAGTTTTATTACAGTAGGTCTTTCATGGACCTTCCTAATTGAGTTTCAGTTCTCACTTACTGGGCAGCTTCTGGAGGAGAATGATCTTTCCTTACATATTTTCGTTTTAGCCCTTCAAGTTCTAGTCTAATCTTTTGACGTGGCTTTTTCAATTTAGTTCAGATTTTTCCCCTGAGTTCTCTATGTCAATTTTATCTTTTTAATTGCATCTACTTTGGAGTTGTTACTAAAAGTGGGCATAATAAAAGCTTGAAACAACAACTGGAGGTGGGGTCATTACTCTGTGTTGATCACATCCATCCTTTCCCCATTAGTTTGTACCACGGTCATTTATTCACAAACATTTCTTGAGAGTTTGCTGAGTGCCACGCACTGGCTATCCCTGGTGAACGAGGCAGACACTATTCCTTCCTTCATGGAGCTTAGGACAGAGGGGAGACTGAGTGGAAAGGGCTCTGTCCTTTAGTTCTTCAGCCAAGCTACGTTGCACTGATTGCTTTTATTACCTGGCAACCTTTTCGTTAAGTTTCCATTCATTAAATTCTGAAAACCACTGCAAAATTCTGAAAACCACTGCTGTAACCTGTCAAATTTGATAGACCTACTTAACTGTGTATGGAAGATTATGTATTTTCCTGCTTAATAAATCTTGATATGAATTTGAATATTAAAACAAAGCTTATAATACTACTTTAACTGTAAGATAATTATAGTCACCTAAATTTTAATTAATTTTAAAATCTATTGTCATTTTTGGATTGTACGTTGAACATTTTACGGAACACAAGACATGATGTCACAAACACTTAAACTATATTTAAGTGTCTAATGAATTTTTAACAAAATTTCTTTCATTGAAATTATAAAGGAGAGACTGAGAAAAGTAATTTTTTTATGTTTTCACATTCCTAATATCTCATCTTCCCCTACTGCCTCCATTTAAAAAATTTAATGATGGCTATTTCACTTCTAGTCAATAAGAAAGATCCAGTTTCTTGCAGTTTACTAGTGCAGTGATTTGACAAATTTCTAGGTCATGTGTATAATAATATGTATTTTCTCTTGGATTATGTGCATATAATAAAATTTGCTGACTATCACCTGTATTCAGAGTACTATATTCAGGAGCAGCAAAATTAGAAAACTTGGTGTTTAGCTCCTTAAAAATTTACAGTGTCATTGGTAACAGTCAATGAGCATATTTATGAAGTTATTACCTGTTATATGTGAGGTCTCAGCATCCTCCAGGTAATGTTCTTGTCATATGCTTTTAGTATTGCACTGTAATTGTTTACACCTGTGACATTTCCAATTTCACATTTCACATTTCACATTTCACATTTCACAGAACTTAGTACTTGGAGATGCTCATTGAATATTACGGAATGAATGAAGGTACATGACAACAATGCACCTTTGTATGGCTTCTTTAAATATACCAGGATTAGTGATTAAATTTCTTATTGGAAGAGATAAGTTTTCAGGCTTGAAGGAAGAGAAGTTTAGCATGCTTTTCTAGAGTACCAACTGCATATGCACAGAAATTAAGATAATATGTGATCCTTATCTTTGATAATAAACATATGAGCTGGCTAGAGAGTGGGCATTCCATAAGTAAAGGGGATTATTGAAAATTAAAGGGAGTAATGCAGGACCTGTGAGTCATGGTGTTGTTTAGGCTAAGGAAATCAGATCGATATGATAAGTAAGGTAGGAAGGAATGATTTCATAATAAGTGGAATTATTTTTATGTTAGTGGCAAAGAAGATAATATTATTTAGTGTTTCCCAAGCTCATTTGACTATGCTGTTCCTATTTTCTTATCCTAACAGAACCCTTCAGTTGCTCATGCGGGAATGCCCACAAGGCCTTCAGTATACCTAGGACTTCAGTTTTATCCTTCATAAGTCCTGTGCTTCAAATTAAGTCATTTGCTTTACACATCTCTGCAACTGCTCCTTTCCTAGGAATGTTCTGACTTCCCATCTGCAAATCTGCCTTTCCTTTAAAAATTAGCTTAAACCCCACTCTCTTTTTTCCCCATTCTCATGCTGTAGGAAGTTTATCCTTTTCTAAAGTATAACCTGTCATCTTTTTTTTTTTTGCCTTGATATGCTTATTCATCTCTTCTAGACTTAAATCCTTGAGGACAGATCCATACCTTCTCAACCTTCCTATCCTAATATAACAGTGTGATCTGTATGTAACAGACACTTTTTATGCTTTGCTGAATGAGTGTCTGTCCCTGGTAAATCCAGATGTGGGGGATCAGGAATGAGATTTACACTCAAATTATTAATGACATCTGTTTTGTAGTGAACTTGTGGTTTTCAGACTATATTCTTGGAGCGGCAGAATATGTGTGGAAGTGGCTTGAATTCATTTTTGTCATAGATAAACTAAGAAAGTGATTTGGCTTATAAAATGGTCCATAGGTTTACAGCAGTGGACACAGGTGGTAAGCAGTGGGGGGCTAAACTTCAATTTTGTAGTCCAGAGCGGGGCTGTGTTAACGTATTTTCCATATTGGGCTATCATGTGATACTTTATTTGAATTTAAAGTTTAAATCAAGGGTCATGATTACAAAAATGTCTGAAAACCACACTAGTAGAACACCCCACTGAGATGAATACAGACACAGAAGAAAGTAATGGTCTTGTCCTAGCGTTGAGGGTGAGGTCCTAGTGATTTAGCTGTTCAGAATGCGCTTGCACGTGCTTCAAGAACGTGATTGTTCTTTCCTTCCATGGCCAACTTCCTTTCTTATCCCTGTTTTGATGTCTGTATAGTTTTCCTGGAATGCCGAGTATTACAATAGGAATGAAACCTTAATTTTTAGAACTAGTTGCTTCTTTAGGTTAGGAGAGCTTTAAAAATATACTGTAGTCTATGTATGTGTCATTGAATTTATTAAAAGTCGTGTGTGTGTATTTATAGATGTGTGTCTTATTATCATTGTTTTTTTCAGTTTCAGGTATGTCCTAAAAGTTTGTGTGTGTCTACTCCTGGACATCGCACTGATCTTTTTCAGAGAGATCCTAAAAATGTCCTGATAACTGATTTCTTTGGAAGTGTACGGAAAGTGGAAATTACAACAGAGACTATGAGTTTACAGCAGTATTCAGAAATCATGGAAAGCGAGTATGTATCTCAAACTATTATTCAAATAAAATATTCTAGTTTTATAATTTATAAATTTTTGTGAAACATTACATTAAGAGATGAGAATTGGCGTATGTAAGTAAAATTATATATTTCCACCCAGTCTTCACTTTACATAGGCTGTCTGCTTTTCAGGTTTATGGGAAAATCTATAAATATTAGTGGGAAGCTAAAATTGTGATTAGGATTATGTTGGAGCTCCAAAATATAGTGTTGGCAGTAGTGCACTTCAGACTTGCTAAAATGACTTGCTGTAACTGGCTGTCTCAGAGCCATGGTTTCTATTGGGCCTCTAGATACTTCATCAGGGAAAGGAGTAAGAGGCGTAAGCCAGGTCCTCCTGCCCCGGGGAGTGTGGATTGTGTGTGAGGGGACAATGTGTGTGCATGCTGGTTTGTGCGAGAAATTGGCTGACTTTGGGTATGTGAATTTTATAAATACTTATAATGTTGTTTTCTCTGTCATCATTTTTAAAGGTAAAATACCTTGTTAATGATTAAATAATGGCTCTGTTAATAGCCACTTTCTTGAAATATATAGTAATATATTTTGCTACCCATCAAACTTTGTTATCGTTTGGGACTATCTAAAGCTGTGTATGAGAAACTCAAACTTGGGGAACTTTTCTGGATTGCCAAATGGCAATGTACAAATTTTTCACAATTTTGAAAATTTCTATGGTTTATAATTGAGCTTATGACTGTTGTAGAAGTAAATTTAAAAACTAGCACAAAATACTTTTCTTATGCAGAATTAGAATTGATGGTATTTTCTAACTTAGTGGTTCTGAGCCTGTGGGTTGCAACCCCTTTTTAACAACGAAAATACACTATGGCCTTAGGAAGGTTGAGTCTGTGGCCTTAGGAAGGTTGAGTCTGTCTAGCTCAATCTTCAAAGCTTCAATATTTTCTTTTCTGATTTCCTATGGCTCTTAGCTTCAAAAATACTTTAAGACTGCAGCTGAGATCCTACAGCAATATCACTTTTATTTCTTGTTTAAATACTAGCTCTCAAATTATCATTGTAAAATGACTAACTTATGCCTGAATACTTAGAGTCACTATGTCTTTTTTTTCTTAATTCGTTTTATAATTTCCCTTGAACATAAGCCTACATAAGAGATCACATTCTCTTAGTCATCTGAACACTGTATTAATTTCTTCTGTAGGTAAGACCTTTCCTCTGCTGTACTTATTTTTTATTCTTTTAACATGTAACATTTAAGTATGTAATAATTATACAATACAAATTTCAGTGGAATTCTACTAAGTTTCATTGTATGATTGGGAAGAATGGAATTTAGGCTCTTAAATTATCTGCGTGTATGAATTCAAAAGCACAAATTTTCAGTGCTGAAGAATGTTTTAATCTAATCAAGGAGAAAATTTTTAGTATCAAAGCCAGAGATACCAAGCACTGTTGAATTAGAGCACCCTCTAGTGTTTGTAAGTAAATTTAATTTATAATAATGTTATTTACCAGTGTTTTCATGATCACTGATATACTTTATCCAGTTAATTTATGAGAATTAAGTTTTCAATGTGCTCTAGGAATTTTTACATGAATGATACAAATATTATTTTGTATGCAGGTGCTATTTATATGCAAATAAGAGTGAGACTTAGAAGTTTATATTGAAAAAAGTATATCATGCGGGATCAGATATGACAAAAAAACTTTTATTAAGGAAATTATAGGCAAGAGTATATTTGCATTTTTTTCAAGTCTTAAGTTAAAAATGTCACTACAGTGTTACTAAAATTAGCAATTATATTTAAAAGAATATTTGAGCCACACCTGCGGCTCAGTGAGTAGGGCACCGACCCCATATACTGAGGATAGCGGGTTCAAACCTGGCCCAGCCAAACTGCAACAAAAAAATGGCTGGGTGTTGTGGTGGGCACCTGTAGTCCCAGCTACTTGGGAGGCTGAGGCAGGAGAATAGCTTAAGCCCAGGAGTTGGAGGTTGCTGTAAGCTGTGACGCTACAGCACTCTACCAAGGGCAATAAAGTGAGACTGTCTCTAAACAAACAAACAAACAAACAAAAATTACTTTCTACATATACTAGGAATAGAATACAACGGAATCCATTGATACAGATTGTCCATATTTTATATTTTGGATCATATATGACAGAGAACATTATATAAAGACCTCTGGGAGTACCTATATGAAGTAAGAATAGCTTTTGTATGTCTTCTGACTTAGAGAAAGTAAGATAAAGGCATACAGTTAATAGCAATGCTTTGTTTCTGCATATGTCTTACTAACTGTATTATAATTTATTTCTAAGAGCAGATGAGGTAAATAGGACCTACTGAATACACTTGGCTTAGATAACTTGATTCCAAACTTCTTCACTGAAGTATATATAGGCTGGGTTTGGATAAGTATGCAGGAAAACATTTTACGTCAGCATATCTTTTACACAGATCACTAGTTTTGTGTCCTTTCTGTATTGGGAAGATAGCCTCCAGGTTGTGGATATAAGAATATTGCACATTTTAGTGTTACCAAAATTATAGAAGTCTAAATTCTGTAGAATTACCTACGGAAAAGATGAGACATTGTGAGTTGTAAACACTTAGGTTTTATCTTAGTGGGATAGAAGAAATTTTGCTTTAGATGCTAAGTTTAGGTACAAGACTCAAGTTTTGTTGTTGTAATTTTATCTTGTAGTACTGGAATTTCCTTCTCTCTTAATGCAGTATTTAGCAATTAGAAATATGTGAATCCAGCAGGAAATTTGAGACTTGGCTTTTTCCTTATAGATTTTTTACACATTTCCAACAGTGGTATGAATAAGGCTTCGTCAAGGTCAGTTTACACTATTTTGGACGCCAGACTAGGTCTCTCTCAGAGCGTGGTGGGGAAGTGGCTGCCTTACACAGGAGGTCAGAGACCAGTCAATTGCTGCCCCAATCATTAATGTTAAGCCTTTTCTATGTGCCACATGCAGTGTTCATGGTTTGTTAATGCATTAGCTGAGATAGTTTGTTGTATTTAGTAGAATCCAACCTGAGCTAGCATTGTCTCTTCAGGATATTTGTTATGTAGATATTCTGTGTTTTATGGAACCCAAGGGCAAGTCCCAGTAAGGGACTAGAATTGGAATCAGAAATTCAGCAGTCTTCCCTTCTGTTCCTTCTGTCTTTTCTTTCTCTGCTACTCTGTGTGCATAGGGACATGCACCTGGGACATAGGATGCATAGTTGACACCACTGTGCTGGAGATATTATTTATTTTTCTTTCTCGTTTACTTTCTCCCCCCCAGCTTTATTGAAGTATTATTGGCAAATACAAATTGTGTGTATTTACAGTTTACAATGTGATGATTTGATATATGTACACATTGTGAAATGACAACCACAATAGTTATCTTTTTTGTGTGTGTGTTTTAAGAACAATTCAAATCTACTTGGAAATTTTCAAGTATACTATACATTATGATTAACTGTATTCAGTTATGGGTAATTTATTATCTTATTATTGGGTTGAGTGCGGTTAGCAGATATTTCCTCCCATCCCCTAGGTGCTCTCTTCATTCTTTTGTTTCCTTTCTTTGCAGAAGATTTTTAGTTTAACATAGTCTCGTTTGTTTGTTTTTGCTTCTTTTGCCTATGCTTTTGGTGTCATGTGCAAGAAATTTTTGCCTACATCAGTGTCACAAAGATTTTTTTGTATGTTTTTCCCAGTAGTTTTAGGTCTTACATTTAAATCTTTAATCCATTTTTAATTGATTTTTGTATATGATGTGAAATAATGTCCTGTTTCCATTCTCTGGTGTGTGGGTTGTCCAGTTTTCCCAGCACTATTTATTAAGAGACTTTCTTTTTTTTTTTCTTGTGTATTCTTCTCAGCAACTTCGTTAAAGATGAATTGACCATAATGGTGTGGATTTATTAATGGGACCTCTATTCTTTTCTCTTCTTCTATGTATCTGTTTCAATGCTGATACCATGCTGTTTTGATAACTATAGTTTTGTGTAGGGCATTTTGAAATCAGAGAGTGTGATGCCTCCAGCTTTGTTCTTTTTGCTCAAGATTGCTTTGGGTCTTTTGTGGCTCCTTATATATTTTAGAATTGATTTTTCTATTTTTGTTAAAAATGACATTGACATTTTGATAGAGATTCCATTGAATTTGTAGGTTGCTTTGGGTTGTACGGACATCTTAACAATATTAATTCTCAAGTCCATGAACAAAGGATGTCTTTTTATGTGTTTGTGTCTTCTTTGCTTTCTTTCATCAGTTATGGTTTCAGATCTTTTACCTTCTTGGCTAAACTTATTCCTAAGTATTTTATTTTTTGATGCTGTTGTACATAGGATTGTTTCCTTGATTTCTTTTTTGGATAGTTTATTGCTTATGTTCTGGAGATTTACACCTCTTCTGTATGTAATGTAGTTTAGACAGAATGAACTTGCTCATTCCTTGTTTTAAGTTCCCTAGAGGGGTTTGTGATTAGTTCAGCTTGGGCTAAGCTCACACCTCTGGTCTAACTGAGTGTCATTTAGAAGTCATATAATGCAAAGTTGTCACTGTTGGGGATCTACCCCATGTGCATAAAATGAACCCTCCAGAAGGCCTTGGACGTTAGAAACTCTGAAAGGTGGTTACATCAGCCTTGTTCAATTTACCAGTTAATTTATAAGCAGCAAGTGTAATTTTTCCATTTTTCAGATGAGTAAACTGAGGCTAAGAAAGTTGCACATTTAACAGTCAAGACGTGAATACAGGTGTACTCTGTACTTCTGTATGAAGAAAATTTTTTATTCTTTCCTAATTTATCCTCAGCTATTGTGCTTGCTTTTTATTAAAATTACTTTTTCTGTCATACATACAGAATAAGTGACAGCTCAATGAATTATTACAAGGAAATACTCAGGCAACCTCCCCCAAAGGAACAACAGTGGTGACATACTGGAAGCTCCCAAATGTCTTATGCCTATTTCTAATCTCTACCCACTTCTCTGC